CGTTGCGTCACTGTAGTCATGTGACTCGCTGACGCAACAATATGATGAAAAACAGAAACAGATATGTTATGATTTAAAATTACAAAATTTGTAATTTAAGAAAACTGATTGCTCTAATAATCTGCACACACAATTACAAGTTTCAAAAATGTGGTACATTCACGTGGAACAAAAAATTTTTGGTTATTATATCATCACAATCTAAACAAAGAAATTCCTTCAAGTAAGGTACAGTATTGTTCACTGTACGGCAGCTTGCCAAATACTTCGATCTGAGGCCTAAGAAATCGAAACAAGTACAAGTTTTAATGTGATGTAAAATTCAAGTAATTGCATTTAATTACGAATCACTAAAAATTACCTGATAAATAACAGTTCGAATAGAATCTTTCCTCATTGCCCTGGTCTCTCGAAGGTACGCCGTTGTTCCTGCACAGTTTCCCACAGCACAAATAAATGCAACAAGGTCAGTTAGTATCAAGACCAATAGCCCTGGAAAGTCTTCATGATGTTCTAAGCTTTCGTCTAATGAAAAGAGAGAGAGAGCTAAATAAGTGAAGAAAAACAATATTAAGATATTTTAATACTTAGACTGTTATAATTACAATGAAAAGTTTTATTTAAAACTCGTTTGTATAACATGAAGGAACATAATCGTTTTCCTTAAGATAAAAATGTCTTTGTATGCGTTGCTGTACGGAATTTGTATAGTGTTGTAATTGCTCCTATCAATTATTTGATAAAAAATAATGCAAAGTCAAATCTACTTAATGAATGGAAAATTCTACAAATTTCACGTTATTTAACGTAACTAACAGCAACAAAATGTTAGGCCAAACTTCACGAAAAAATAATACTAGTTATTTATTTGCTAACTTATCATGTATCTCCAGCACTGTAGTTTTATTATTATTATTATTAAAACAGAAATTCAAAGCTTATGACATTGAACTAACTAAAACAGACTCACTAATCAATCAACAAATGGCTATTCTAGACTAGCTGGTGTTTTTATATTGGTCAAATAGTTTCTCATACTCTCAAGTAAATTCTAGTCTCTGACTGAGTTCAATCAGAACATCTATCGGGCTTTCCGTGATACTTAGAAAAAAACAAAAACATCACACTCTTGGATACAAGATTAGGAATATCGTATCAGGAAAATTGCCCCCAAATTCAAAAGATTGTATTTATAATCACTTAACATTAACCCAGCCAACACACAACGTTGCTTAATAGTTGTAGATTTGTCAAATCCACAACGTCGTGCATTATATTGTTACGTCTCCGTTCGTTCGTTAATTAATTTTCCGTAAATTCGTTCCGACGAAACTTTAGCGACACAAGTCCTTTCTTAAATAAAACTGGTTTATTCTTTCCGAATACAACTTTACCGATAAACTTAATTTCAACAGTCGCTCTATAACAAACGCAATAATTCTCAACGAACGTCTCACGTGCTCGTGCTCGACAATACTCAGTTCAATTACACATATTGTTCCCTTCACTTTGTG